AGAATGGCTCGATGGGATAACTAAATTTGTAGAATGGAAGAAAAATCTTGCATGTTGAAGATATTGTATTTATAAGAAATTATTATTACTAAACCCTTTCTTAATGCAAAGAAAGAAGAACTCTTTCATTATAGCAAAGAAAGAACTTTGAAGAAATCTAGCTACACATGCACCTTTCTAGATTAACACTCAAACCTTGCCTTTTCTTGGTTTTACTTCCAAGTTTCAAAGCCCTCATTTTTTCTAAGAGAGGGAAAAAAAAGATAAAAAAANAGCACATGTTTCGAAAAATATATTATTTTAAACTAGTGTTTATCTCTGAAGGAAAACATGTAACTTATGTCATGACATTGACTACTTGATTAACTATTATATAATATTTAATCATATTTTTTGAAACTGATTGTATTTTTTTATTGTTTAGTTAATCAAATGGTAAATATCACAAAACTTGAGTTTGTTGCACTTTATATATTTGGTAAAAACTTTCTGTCATGGATTATTGAAAACTTCGAAAGAGCTTGTATTATTTTACCAAATAACATAAAATTATATATTGATAATGCACTTTATTCTAGTAAATTCAGAAAAAATTTGCTATAGTTTTAAAGGTATCGTTACAATGGATATTACATTGAGACGATGCAACAAAATAATGTTAAATATCTTTGCATAACTTCATTTATAGATGGCTAGAAGCAGATATAAGAAAAATATCATACACTCTCATCTAGCATATATTATACATTTATAAAATTGTTGAATCAAATATTGTCACGAACCAGAAGTTAGTTGACCCAAAAGTTTTATACTTTAGTATGATCAACTTGGACATCCAGGAGCTATAATAACGGGTTGAATAATAAACAACTCACATCGACATCTTTAAAAAACGAGAAGATTCTTTTATCTAATGATTATTTATGTATAACTTGTTCGCAAGACAAGTTAATCATTAGACATTCGACTACTAAAGTCAATATTGAATCTCTAACTTTCTTGAAAAAAATTCATAAAGATATATGTTAGCCCATACACCCACAATGTGGACTATTTCATTATTTTATGATATTAATTGATTTTTTTACTAAATTGTCACATGTTTGCACTTTTCACTAGAAATATAGCATTTGCTAGACCACTTGCTCATATCATAAAATTACAAGCGCAATTTCCCTCGATTACTCAATTAAGACTATTCGTCTTGACAATGCTAGTGAATTTAGATCATAAGCATTTGATAATTATTGTACGTCAATTGTGATTGTTATTGAACATTCAGTTGCACATGTTTATATACAAAATTGTTTGGCGGAGTCATTTATCAAATGTCTACAATTTATTGCAAGATTATCACTTATGAAAACAAAACTCATAGCTTCTATTTGGGGTCATGTCATATTACATGCTGCATATTGGTCTGTTATTAATATTCACCTTCACAACTTGCATTTGGTCATGAATCTAATATTTCTCACCTACAAGTTTTGGTTGTGCTGTTCAAGTCCTTATTTCACCCCCCCCCCACGATTTACTAAAATGCGTCCCTAATGAAGACCTGAGATTTATATGGGTTTTGATTCACCATTCATTATTAGGTATTTTGAACTTTTAACACGTGATTTATTTATTGTACGTTTTGTAAATTATCATTGTGATCAAATGATTTTTTCCAACTTGGGAGGAGAAAAACTACATCCAGAAAAAGGTAAAATTTATTGGAATGAAACAACTCCATCTCCCTTTGATCCCCCACAACAATCAATCTGAGCAAGAATTTCAAAAAATCATTCATTTGCAAAAAGTTGCAAATATCAATTACGTAATATATTCGTTGATACAAGAAATTTGACAAAGTTATATATTCCAGTAAAAAATATTTCAGCAAAAATTGAATTCCCTGAAAGACAATCTGCTGTAGCAAATGAATTTAAAATATGTCAGAAACATAGTCAACCAGTTGGTTTAAAAGATTTTGTACCTTGAAAAAGAAAAGTACAATAAAAAATCAACCGAAGATTTCGGAAGAAGTAATACTAGAAAAGATTGATCAATCAAAATTGAAAATATGGTTCCTGGAAAACCACAAGTGTCCGAAAATAAGAGATTTCAATAAATTATATATTACCTCATAAATTATGGGAACGAAATAATGTTGTTATAGACAATATTTCGTATTTAACGTGCCTCTTGATATTATGCGAATTGAGGATCCTGAATCATAATCTGTTAAAAAATGTTAAAATAGAAATGATTGGCCAAAATGGAAAGAGATCATATAGGCGGAATTTAATTTCTTAAAGAAACAAAAAGTGTTTAGACCTATAGTTCGAACACCTGAAAATATAATCCTTGTAGGATATAAATGCTTTTTTTGTACGAAAGAGAAATAAAAATAATGAAATTGCAAAATAAAAAGCTTGACTCGTTGCTCAAAGTTTCTCAGAAAGATCTGGAATTGATTATGACGAAACATATTCTCCTGTAATGGATATCATTACTTTTAAATTTTTAATTAGTTAGACTGTGTCACATAAGCTTGATATACACCTTATGAATGTCGTAATTATCTACTTGTATGGTTTACTTGATAGTGACATATATATGAAAGTCGCTAAAGAACTTAAAGTGTCAAGAACAAACAATACATGCCCTAGAACTAGGTTCTCAATTAAATTTCAAAGATCATTATATAACTTGAAACAATTCGGACACATGTTGATAATTGTCTTAACGAATATTTGTTGAAGGAGGACTATAAAGAAAAAGTTCTTGGTCATAAAGTATCATATTTTAGTGTAATTGGAGTATTAACTTATCTTATAAATTGCACTGAACCGGACATAGCTTTTTCTATAAATTCCCTTGTAAAATATAGCTATACAACAACTCAACGATATTGGAATGATATTAAACATATTTTTCGTTACCTAAAAGATACTATTGATTTGTGATTAGTTTATTCTCAAAAGTTGGGATTCGCTTTAGTAAGATATGCAGATGCATGTTATCTCTTTGACTCACACAAAAGCTAGATCAAAAACAGGATATATGTTTAAATGTGGAAGAACAACTATATCATGGAGATCTGTGAAGTAATTCTTGACAGTGACACCCTCAAATCATTTTGAAATTATTGTAATCTATGAAGCAGGTCGAGAATGAGCATGGTTAAGGAACATGACCAATCATATTCAAGCATCATGCAGGTTAATTTCAACAAAAAATAGTCCAACAATTTTGTATAAAGACAATGCAAATTGTATTGCACAATTCAAAGAAGGTTATATCAAAGGTGACATGACAACATATTTCTCCAAAATTCTTTCATCTACATTAGCTTCAGAAGAATGACGACACTAATGTCCAAAAAAATCGCTTAAGTGATAGTGTGACCGATTTATTCACAAAAACACTGTCAGCATTTACATTCAAGAAATTGGTCCATGTAATTGGAATGCACCGATTCAAAGATTTTTAGTCGTCAACATCAGGGAGAGTAACTGTACTCCTTTTCCTTCGCTTAGGTTTTATTCCACCAAATTTTCTAGCAAAGTTTTAATGAAACAACATTTAATTTTAATATTTCAAAAATAATTGTACTCTTTTTCCTTCGCTTAATTTTTTTTGTTCCATTATCTTTTTATCAAATAAGGTTTGAACAAATCAAATATTTTGTAATATGTCATTCAAATGGGGTATTGTTAATAGTAAGTTTATTAACGAATGATAATTGTACCATTACTGCCCTAGAAATTATTACCGTTGTATCTCTTATTTTCCCCAATAAATATAGAGTTTTGATTCTTAATAGGACACACCAGTCTATTGACTTCTCTATATTTTCTTCTCTTTTATCTTTTTTTTAATAATAATTTCTCCTTTTTCAGAGATTTCCTTATAAGTCACTTCGCCTCCATTTGGAAAGAATTTATAAACGACTTAACTTATAAATAGATAAAAAGTTAGTGAATGAGTGAATATTATTTGTAAAATAATTGAAATGTATAATTAAAAATGAAGTTTGACTATTTATGAAATTTACAAAATTTGTCCAATGGAAGCTTAATTTCTTCCATAATCTAGAACGTGCATAATTACTCATGAAGTAATGCTATATATAATCACTCAATATTACAGTTATCCTATATGGCATACATGTAACGGTTAGTGATTTGATACATTAATATGATAATTTTTATTATCTTATACAACAAATCACTAACCGTCACATGTATGTCACGTAGGACAACTGCAATAGTGAATGATTGGAAATAACATATTTCTTACTCATGCATTTAAATTTTTTACCTTTCTTATTAGGAATATCGAAATTCCATCCTAATTCCATGGCAATAGAATGAACGTAACATTTTTATAAATGAAAAAAAAAAAATAGCATTCCACATCTTAGAAGATAATTTGTTTTAAGAATAAATATCTTCACGAAAAAAGTTTAAATAATTGAATTTATCCTCTATATGATAGTTGTATCAAAGGCTTTTGAAATCAAGTCATCTTGTCACCAGTTTGCCAAAATTGTTTGTGTGACTCATTTGATGAAAAAAAATATAATGTTTGGTGAGGATTAAAATCAGATTTTTAGTAAATTTTGATAAAAGTTGATGAAATGTGAGGTTAAAAAGTTGTAAAATCTATGACATATATGGTTAAAATTGATTATCGACTTTGACTTAAATAAAAACTTGAATTTTAATCACTACCAAATATGAGCTAAATAGTTCGGCTATTTATGAAAAAATTATTTTCTCATTAAAAAATTTAATCTGAGACAAGATAGTAACAAATATTACCATGTTAGAGTTCACTGCATATCTCCTATTATTTCTATATCCACATTAATTAATTCCAAACACTCCTTTATTATTTCATAAACTCCTCTCCACCCGATAAAAACAAACAAAAATACGCACAAGGCGTCCCATAAACGCCGGGCCACCACATCATTTGAACGATTCCAAGACACACACGTGCCGATATGACCGCCGCCGCATGAGCTACCACAATACATATATAAACTCACTACACCACCACCTCTTCTTCCTCACTCCTCCCACTCCTAACTCTCTTTCTCTACAATGGCTACTTCTGAAACCCATCTTCTCAAAGATGAGCTCGATATAGTGATACCCACTATTAGGAATCTTGATTTCTTGGAAATGTGGAGGCCATTCTTTGAGCCATATCATTTGATCATAGTGCAAGATGGTGATCCATCGAAGACAATCAAGGTCCCTGATGGCTTTGATTATGAATTGTATAATCGAAATGATATTAATAAGATTCTGGGTCCTAAGGCTTCCTGCATTTCCTTCAAGGATTCTGCTTGCAGATGCTTCGGGTACATGGTCTCCAAGAAGAAGTATATATTCACCATTGATGATGATTGCTTTGTAAGTTTTCAAACTTTTGACTTCTTTTTTCATGTAAATATCAAGTTTCACAAGACTATGGCTCGTTCGAGAACATTCTCAGAATTGATCAGCGCTGGTTTGAACTTTGGACCAAACATTATTTTCATATTTAAGGGCTTTGGAATATTGGATGATCTTGTTCTTAATTATATATACATAAATATATACTTGATCCAAAATGTTTTACTGGATTGCTTACTTAGAGTTCTATGATTCGCTTGTTTTGTTGGCTAACTGAGACTAATATTTTGCTAAGAAAAGATGGAAAATTGTATCAATATGATGTTCCGCATCATGTATTTTCTGTTCTTTAGTTCAGTTTACACGAATTTATTAATATTGTGGTTAATAATTAAAGGTTTGTGACCAATAGTAACTCTATGTTTGTATGTTACATATCTTGTAATGTTAACTTGCATCACTTGTGAAAGGGCTGGACCTTTCCATTAAACGCCGATGTTAAGGGTAATTCACGCCTCCTTGTGGGAATCCTCATTTGAAACATGTGACCTCAAAATGGCTACTTACAGTAATAGACTGGTTTCATGAGTGTTGAGTCACTGAACTGAAAAAGGTTTTAATTGGTATATTATAACGCCCCACTCTTAAATTTCAAGTAATTCGTGTGTTTGTAACATTTTTTAAATTGTTAAATAATCTCGCCTTGTTCATTAGGCAAAATATATAATATAGTAGCTAAGTGAATACTTTCCTACCGTAGGCCTTGCTTATATGGAAAAGTAGGAACAAAGAATTGGCAAATGAGAGAAACTTTTGCATATATAAAGGAGTAATTTCACAGTTCTTTTCTTGCTTGGGAAAGATAAGAAATTCAGGATTCTTATAGCATATCCTCTTTCCATCTTTATGAATTTTATGGTCAGATCTTATTTGTTTTCGTGCTCTATCAGATCTTTGAGGCCTTAATGGACTTGGTCTTATGAAAATTTTATGAACACTTAGGTTGCCAAAGACCCTTCTGGGAAAGAAATCAATGCCCTTGCACAGCATATCAAGAATCTACTTTGCCCTTCAACACCAAATTTCTTTAATACCTTGTATGATCCTTTCCGTGAGGGCGCAGATTTTGTTCGGGGATACCCTTTCAGCCTTCGTGAGGGCGTGCCAACAGCTGTTTCTCATGGCCTCTGGATGAACATTCCTGATTATGATGCACCTACACAACTTGTGAAGCCTTGTGAGAGAAATACAAGGTAGATCATACTTTTAACCCAAAACTACATACGGTTTTTGAAGTTGACATTCTTCTTTTACATATTCATTTGAAGCAAGATTCTTGAGCTAGTTTCTTGTTTTTTTAGGTATGTTGATGCAGTCTTGACAATTCCAAAGGGCACCCTCTTTCCCATGTGTGGAATGAACTTGGCATTCGACCGTGATCTTATCGGTGCCGCAATGTACTTTGGGCTAATGGGAGATGGCCAACCGATTGGACGATACGACGATATGTGGGCTGGCTGGTGCATCAAGGTTAAATCTCTGCACATTTTTCTATTGTTCCCAATAAATTTGGGGTAGGCTACACGAATTTTTTTAGCACTACGTTCGACTCATTGTAGGATTTACAAAATTTATAGACTTTTTTCCACAATGTCTGCTAAAAAATTACATAGTAGTAGTCATTTCTTACCATTTTTCTGGATTGTGAAGGTAATTTGTGATCATCTTGGATTGGGAGTCAAAACCGGGTTGCCATACATATGGCATAGCAAAGCCAGCAACCCATTTGTGAACCTGAAAAAAGAATATCAAGGCATCTTCTGGCAAGAAGAAATCATTCCATTCTTCCAAGCAGCAACACTTTCAAAGGACTGCACAACTGTTCAGAAATGCTATGTTGAACTGTCTAAACAGGTTAGAGAAAAGCTTGGCAAAATAGACCCCTATTTTGTGAAGCTTGCAGATGCAATGGTCACATGGATTGAAGCTTGGGACGAACTCAACCCCAAAAAATAAATCATATTTGGCTTCGAGATTTTAATTATAGTTCTTAGTCATAACAAGTAAATTTTTTAATATTTTTTGTTTTGGGTTTGTATTTAAATTGTCAGTAGATTTTCTGTCGGATTTACACGTTGTTGGGTGTATTTTTCTATAATGTTAGCAGTAAAACTGGAAACAATGAGCAAATGTTAGGTCTTTTCTTGTAGCAACTGCGGCAGCCTAAAATGCTGATATTCGGAAGCAAATGAAAAATCTCCTGTAACATGAGATATAACTCAAGTTTTCTTTCTTTATTTTTTTCTTTTTCTTTATTTTTATTTCTTCTCTTTCTTTTTGTGTGTGTGTGTGTGTGTTTGGTTAAGCTTAAAAGCTTCTTAAAAACGTCATGTCTGTAGGATGCCATTTTTATTTACTTATACAGCTCATGAATCGGATGTTAGCATGTGCTTTTGGTTGAACTAATGATTACTCTCTAATAAATTAAACGTTCAATTAAACACAAGAATGATACAAAACTGATATTGTTCCTTCAAGACTCTCAGTATTGGCACACAAGAGACTAACCCTTTCGCGTTTGGTATCTCTTAAGATTAAATAGAACATGAACCATTGCTCAGCGAGAGATGGTGGTCTCTGCAAAGCATATGCAGCAAGAGGAACATTGGTAACAGACTTAGCAAGTTTGGCAAAGACCTCAGCAATTGTGTATGACAGTAAGCTTTATTATCATGAATTAGAAGTAGGGTCTTCTGTCTTCTTACGCTTGGTTGGGGGTTCTTCGCCTTCTTCATGGTTGATTATTCCATTCACTGCCTCGGGACCCAACAGAGACACGTGTTTGCTGGTTATCTGACGACCGGCCCTGAGCTTTGGTCCCCAATGTCTTTCAGGATTCGGAAGGAAGCGTGCAACCTTTTTGGCTTGTGCCTTGCTAAGAGAGGCAACAGCTCTTGCAAAATTAGCCTGCAAGGATATAAAAAAACAATTTTATAGGATGTTTACGTGGTAGGTAGTATTGGTCAAGATTTAGCCCCTTTTTGGTACAAATTAAAATTTAGATTTTAATCTAAGTCAAAGTCAACAACTAATTTTAACCACATTTTATGGGACCCACAACTTTTCAACCACATATTTTAATAACTTTTATCAAAATCTACTAAAAATCTGATTTTAATCCCCACAAAACAGGGGCTTAGTATGATTAAAAGAAAACAGCCAAAATCTTTTCTTTTTTATACTCTCCAATCCTATATACCAAACATGGACTAATGACATGTTTAGTAGAGAGGATTAAATTGGACTGCAAAGTATTAACTTTTAAGGAACAAAAAGAATCTAAAATTTTGTTGATTATAACGCCTTGGGTACCAGACATGCACTTGGTTTCTTGAGGAAGCAAAAACAGAAGGAGAATAGACTATTATTAGCTGGCAGAAATTTTTTGTTTTAAAACTCAAGTTCAAGTCAACAAAAGAAAAATGAAGAGTGCCCAGTCAAAAAGTATCGAATTCAAAATGAATGTCCAATAGCATTCAGTTAGGAAAATACTTTATCAAACAAAAATACGCGCTTGTGTTTGTAGGGGTTCTCTACATGAATTTGACTATTAGCTAGCAGAAATTTTTGCTGTAATACTTAAATTCAATTCAAGAAGGAAAATGAATACACGAGGAACTAAAATTGCAGTGTTAGCACAATGTCCTGCAAACAATAACCGAATTCAATAATTGCCTTCAACAACAAATGGGAGGCAGCACTCAGTAAGGACACAACTAATCAACCAACAGATGACAAAAATAAGAAAGAGTGCAATTGAAGAGTAAAGGGAGTCGTTTACCTGCAGAACCGGTTCCTTTGCAAGTATAACACTTCCAGCCTGATCAGGTGGCTGAGCTTTCACAGGATGATTTTTGACCTACAAAGTGAATGTTACCAACTACATGAAGACAAACTTAAAAATTCTGTACAATGAGGAAAATAACTGAAAGGAAAACATATTTGGTGACAAGATCTTATCACACCACGCAAAATGTGGCAACCACACCCCAAGTGGCCATTAATGTGTGCTGCTCAGTAACCAGACAGTAAAGACTGGTTTGGTACGGTGGACAGTATTAAAGAAGAAAAATGAACTAATATCTTGTCATTATTTAGTCCTGTCCAGTACAGTGCACCAACATGCACTAAATATATACACCTAAGTTCATTCCATCAGAAGAAGCATGCTCGGAATTAAATATCACAAAGTTCAAGGAGCTCTGTAGTTTAACTAATGTGAACATTGTTTGGCTGGCGTGAACAAATTGGCGGCATATGAAACGATAAAACAAGCATGAATTCACACAAGGCAAACATGGAAGCTCACCCAGCAGCGCATGATATCCCAAATCACATCCATAAGAGCGTCTGTTTTCAATCCCAATGGGTTCACATGAGTTCCGGATATACGGTATCCTGCATTGATAACTGCAGAGCGAAATATAACTGCTGACGGAGATGTGCATTTCAATGTAGCACAGAGATTGTGCAAACTCAGAAATAGAGGAACATCAGGCAGTTCCTGCAACATGTACCAAATTAATTTATTAAACCAAAAGCCAATCTTAAGAATAAACAATCAAGATGCAGAAATCATAACCTATTTCTTCATTCCTTATTTTTCTTTAGGCTTAAACAAATAAGAGTAACCCAGAAAGTGTGAAAGGACCTATAGTTTAGGCAGTTGTGAAGCCTAGTCCTAACTTTATATAACATCTAGGTCCTTTCGCACTGTACAAGAAATTGTGTTGGGGAGTATAGAGAGATAAATCTCTAGGTGAGCATCTCTCTGCTAGAAAAACAAGCCTCAATTTCACATTTTCTAAATAATAGTCTAAATAATACAAAAATACTTAAATAGAAGCTAAGATCTGTGATCCTCTAACTGATATTAAGAAAATTTCCATATGTATTCTTTGCAAGTAGTTGGACGACACAACATAGCAGTGACAAAACATTTTCAAAAGAGCCAAATGAAATGTTTGCTAAAACAAACAAGTATACCTCTGATATCATCGTCAATACAGCTGATATTCGATCATAAGCAGGATAACGATCTTTCATAGATTTAACATCTGCTAGAATGGAAGTCACCCATTCTTGGTCATGGATGGGAGCAGACCATATGGGCCCCCCCATGTTATATTTCTTTCCACAATCACTGCACTCTTGGGGGACAACAGGGCCAAATCCAGGGAGATATCTGATGCTGGTATTCTACAGAAGAAAAAGGGAAAGACAATAAAATCAAAAGGTATACTAGCTGTAGAAAAAATAAATTTCATATGACATTGTATTTTACCAAAAAGAGAATATTACTTATGAAGTGCTCAAAATGAAATACTCAAATCAATCAGCCTTTAGGTTCCTGATGCATGCAGGCAAATAGCAAAAACTATGTACAGTCACACATGTTCACTGAAGACAATTTTGCAGGTACTTGAAATTTGTAAACCATGCAATACTATACCATAAATCTTTTTCACACACAAAAACTTTAAAATTTCATTTACATTCACGCCAGCTAAAATTTATGCAGCATCAAAATCTACCGAAGCCTTGTGTAAAAACATGCATACCTTGGATACAGTCCTTCCAATTGGCTGGAGATGAAAGGAATCACAACCAATGCACTGATAAACATATGAAAGCTTTAAAGGAGTGTTCTTCATTGCACTTGCTGATCTGCAAACAATCACTTCAAAAATCAGACATGCAAATCTAGAGTGGTGGAATTAAGAAGAAATAATGTACAGTCTAATCTGGCAAGTCATGCAACTCGCTCTTCTTGTTAATACGAAAAGCAATCTTTAAGCAGTAAACACTTACGAATGCACACGAACAAATACGCGCACATAGAAATCCATCTGAACAGATAACACTGGAACAATGTACCGTTTGTACCGGTTAGCATGACTCTGAGTTAGAAGACAAGATCATTTCAATATGATAAATGATATATAATCTTTCAAAAAAAATTCAAGAGGGATAGGATCGAGAGTCATCAACTATTTCAACCGACTTGTTAAAGAAGACTCCCATTTTAGGACATCCAATAATCCAAGAAGTAATCCTTTTTGGATGGAGGACATATAAGAGAACTCAATAATGATTCTTGAGTCAACATCACAAAACTGATTATCATAATGTCATAATGAGTATAAAAAAAAGCACCCTGTAAACCATTCATAAATAATGGCTCTGGTGATAATTAATTGAAGATTGTTGAAGGATTGTACGCAGGAAATATAGCCTTCCAATAAGTGCAAAAAATATCAATAGCGTAACAACTAAGACCAAGATCAAACAGAGTTACCACCTAGGTTATGTAGTTATAGATACCCAAAATGGGACCCAGTCCAATTCTAGAGAAGCTATCACCATTCCTAATCCAATGTCAAATGGCAGGTGCAAAAAAATGAAATACAAGATAGCAATTTGTTAACCTCGGAAATTACCTTGAGATAAGTTAATATAAATTGGAAGCTTTGTTTCCCTTTCCATGTTTACACAATATCACCCCACAAGGCCAACATAATGATCAACGAAGTAGACAATAACAAAGGGAAATTTAGAAAGCTTAAAGTGGCACAAATAAAGTAGGATAGACAATCTAGGATTAATTATCTAGACCTGTTTTGAACACATAAATAGCTTATGGTACAAAATGGTTGAACAATTTACACTGAGAACTTCATAAGATAAAATACCTCAATGCAGGCAAGAAGGATCCTCAAAGCCATCTCATGGCAATATTTCCCTCTCAATGGATAAGAGCCGTACCTAAGCTCACAAGTAGCATCAGCTCAGACCACCTTACATTTTACAAGCAATAGATAAATTGACTAAGAAAATGATGCTGTTTTATCAGAAGTTCACAAAATAAATAAATAAACGTACTTGGAATAGCAGACCTCCCCATTACCCCCACAAAGGACTGCCATATCAGTTGCGGTGCACATCAACATGCCCCCGTCAACAACTGATTGAACAGCAGAGTCCAGAAAAACAGATGGAGAACCATAAGGGTCAAGGTCAACCTGAAACACAAACACCAGTATAAGATTAATCACAGACAATCTGTCTTTAGAGGGTAAGAGCAAAATATGCTTCATAAAAGCACAAAATAAAGGACATATCTATGACAAGCATCATGGGATGGGATCACTGCTACAAAGTATAATGCTTTCACTCAATTTCTCTTCTACATAAATAAAATGTTATCCAGGTACTGTCAACTAAAGCACTAAATACAGAGAGTATTGGTTGCTGAAGGAAAAATTAGTTTGAGGACAAAAGACGGGGGAAATTAGAAAGCAATATGTCCAAATGGTGAACTTCATAT